GTGAATCCAAAGTGATTCAGATGTCCAAAGTGAGAGAAAGACAGGTAAAGATGGAGTTATACAGCATTTCTCCATTGTAGTGAAAAAGCAGCTTGTGTGCTGTGCAGCCTTCATTGTAGTAAGAGCATTATTTACTCGCCCTCGCTTCCTTCGCCATAGTATTGCGACATCACGCACAGGAGATAAATGACATTGGTATGTAATAACTGGATATGATCTTTTAGTGAACCGATATCAATAATTTTGACATCCCTATTAATGAGTAACGATGCAGCACATAAAAAAATCTATCAGAGTAAAAGTATTAAACTCATGGAAAATATGTACTGAAGTAAAAGTGGAAGTAGGAGAAAAAAACAACAATCCAGTAAACTAAAGATACAGCCTTTTAGTACCTAAGTAAAGTAGTGAAGTAGTTCTACTTTGTTACTATACATTTCTGGGTATACCTATGATGAAAGTTAAAGCTCTCGTCTTTTTAAGTGGGAGAGCTTGCACAGTTGGTGGCCGACTAAATGTTTTTTTGCCCCACTGTAGATATTTAAAACTTTTTTATATAGTTTTACAGCTTCAAATGTTTCTAATTGAATACCAATTTAGTTTTGTGATTATGTTCTTTCACGAACCTGTGCACATTATTGTCTGTCTGTTTTGGATTGTTTCAGGAAAAAAGTGGAAGAAGACATGCTGTGTGCCGTCTTTTGTGTTGTTCGTGTTGACGTCGGGCTGTCTGATCACAGGCATGGCTCTGCTGGCCATCTTCAAGGTGGACTCGGAGAACCTGACGGTGAATGCGGTGCTGATCTCCATGGCCAGTGTTGTGGGTCTGGCGCTGCTGCTAAACTGCAGGACCTGGTGGCAGGTGGCAGATTCTGTGCTTCACTCTCAGAGGAGGAGGCTGCTCAACGCTGCCAACCGCATGCACAAACTCAAGAGTGAGGGATTCATGAAGGTAAACCCATATAACAACTAGTGCCTGTTTACAGTCTATTGCATTCTTATACTGAGTGAATAATTGAGTGGCCTAAGCATGATTTTGAGAAAAAAAAATTTTCCGTGTTAATTCTTCCACTTCCTTGTTCACCTTAAATTGCATAGCATTTTGTGTTTTTAGTTAAACATTTCAAATGGATGTTTTTTAAATGATTTCTATTAAAGTTACTAAAGAGTCTGGATCACACCATAATGGATCAAAAGTTCATTGGAGAAAATCTCCATTTTTAAATGTTTGCCTAATTGTATTTATTTAATAAATCTAATAATAAAGCTTTTTTTATTATTTATTTAATGATTAGGTTTTCTACATTTTAGTTTAGTTTAGTTTAGTTTAGTTTAGTTTAGTTTAGTTTAGTTTAGTTTAGTTTAGTTTAGTTTAGATAAGTTTAGATAAGTTTAGTTTAGTTTAATATTTGACCTGTCTGTGTTTTGGCCTGTTAAAGAGTCTTAAAATCTTTAATAATTTTAAAAGTATTGTACAGTTATTTTTTTCTGAGCTTTTGAAGTGTCAAATTTTATTAATATTTTACATTTATTTTGTTTGTTTTATTTTTTATTTTTTTGTCCTATCAAAGAGATGAGATCCTAAACCTTTTTGTCATACCATCATAAATTTAAAATTTCTGAAAAAATGAAGACTTTCAACTTTTTAATAATAATAATAATAATAATAATAATAATATAATTCCTTACATTTATGTAGCGGATTTCTGGACACTCAAATCGCTTAACATGTTTTTGGGGTAATCTCCTCGTTCACCACCAGTGTGCAGCATGCACCGGGATGGCGAGACATATTGTGCCAGACCGAACGCCAGCTGATTGGTGGAGAGGAGACAGAGTGATAAAGCCAACTATGATATGGGGATGGTTAGTAGGTCATGATTGACAGAGGCCAGTGGGCAAATTTGGATAGGATGCCAGGGTTAAACCCCTACTACTTTCGAAGGACATCTTGTTTATTTTTAATAACCACAGAGAGTCAGGACCTCGGTTTAACGTCTCATCTAAAAGACGGTGCTCACTGAGCAGTAGAGAGTCTCCTTCACTATGCTGGGGCATTAGGACCCACACAGACCACAGGTTGCTGGTCTCACTAACACAACTTCTTGCAGCAGCCAGAACTTTCCCATGTGGTCTCCCATCCAGGTACTGACTGGGCGCAGACCTGCTTAGGTTCAGTGGGTGACTGTATGTATTGTAAACTTTTTTGAAGTGAACTTAAAACTTTTTAAGTTTCAATTTTGTATTTGATTTGATTAGATCATTATTTAATTTAGGTTTATTTTATTTTTCTTAACCAATGAGCCCACAACATGAACCATAGTCATTTATCATTAGTAAAACTGACATCTTTGCTTTATTTTATTAAAAAGTTTTTCAGATAAAGTTTGGTTTGTATGGTTCACTTGTTTTTTTTTTCTGTCAAGTTTTGAAATGTTATTTAATTATTTTTTAATTTTATTTTTTTTAAATTTTATTTTATATAGTTCTTTGTTTGTTTTTAACTAATTCATTTATATTTTTATTGACTTAATTTTTTATCAAATGTTAATAAAAGCCTACCTCATTCAATCAAAAAGTTTTTACAGCTTTTTTTTTTTTTTTTTGCACAACTTATCAGTGTTCTTTTTTTCTCAGGTTTTGAAGTGTGAAGTGGAGCTCATGGCTAAAATGGCTAAAACCATTGACAGCTTCACTCAGAATCAGACCCGACTGGCTGTCATCATCGATGGCCTGGACTCCTGCGAACAGGACAAGGTGTTACAGATGCTCGACACGGTACGTTTGTATATGTGTATGTGTGTGTATGTGTGTGTGTGTGTGTGTGTGTGTGTGTGTGTGTGTGTGTGTGTGTGTGTTTACTTTCACCAGCATTAGACTTGTAAACCTCATGGAACATCTCCCATATAACCAAACACCAGCATACAAATCTTATTCACTGTCAGGATCGCATTTGCCTGTGTATTCAACCCATGCCAAGAAGCTGTTGGTGGCACAAGCCATCCATCTCCGCTGTTCAAATATAAGAGATTCATTCTTTCTGGACTAAATGGACAAACAAGGTGCCTCGTGTTCACTCGGTATGAAGAACAAGCTATCCAACATCTCATGGATGTGAATCGGTGCTCAGATTCTTCTTTCCCAGCTGGACTAATGGAATTTCCTTCAACTAAATGTCATTATTTGGGTATAATCCTCTTGCATTGGCAGCCCGTTCACTGCTAATGAAATCTGCCCATTTACCAGGCAGCCTCAAAGCTTCCTTTGTGGCGCAATTAGCCACATCTCTTTAAAATCCAGATCTTTTTGTTTCAGATTTTGATAGGAATTACCAAATTGGATTTTTTTTTACCCTTCAAGCTTAATGTTGTTCCAATTGATAATGCTGATGTGTTTTGTAGGAAAACATGACAGGTATGAACGCAGATGGCGCTTTGTGGCACTGTTTAGTTGGCGTGGAGAAGCATGGTGTCAGCATATATTTGACAGTGATTGCTAAATGATGCTATTCTGTACTTTTTAAACGCTCTACAAATCAGGATCCTGTGACACTTATACATGTTACATCGCTCTTCATTAGTGCGGAAAGTCCCATCACATTCTGATTAGTAAATGGATGGGTATGTGGAAGTGCATTACAGAGTAGCCTGTGTGAACATACGCATGATACACAACATACATTTTGAACTATAGGCTTTTGTGACGTAGAAAGCTCTAACTGGATTATAGCTATAACGTCATTTGTTCTAAAGCAGTGTGGAAGTTCAAGAGGGACAAATAGACTGCTTGAATAGTATAGTCACTGTTGGGTAATTTGCTTCAAAAAGTAGCTAATTACTGATTAAATCATTAAAATTGTATTTAATTTACTTTTTGAGTACTGTGTTTGAAAAGGAACTCAACTACTCAGTAATTCAATGACTTTATTCAATGCTATGTAAAATCTTTAGAAATCTCAAAGCTTAGACAATAGAAATTCAACTCTTTTTAATTATTTGTTAAAGCCAAGCAAGATATTTTTCATTCATTCATTTTCTTTTCGGCCTAGTCCCTTTATTAATCTGGGGTCACCACAACAGAATGAACCGCCAACTTATCCAGTATATGTTTTATGCAGCGAATGCCCTTCCATCTGCAACAAGATCTTTTAGCTCAAAGAATATTAAATAAATAAATAAATAAATAAATAAACATTTCAATGTAATGAAGCCATATTTCATTCTATATATTGTCAATAATTTCTTACTCCATTGTTAGTCCATTGTTTCTGAAGCATGTTTAATCGTTTTGATAAGTGTAACCTTCTTTAGCTGAATAATTGTTACTCGGCGTCTCTGAATTTATTAATACAGAACTGTTGAATCTGTTTACAGTATTCAAGGCAAGTACATTAAAAGTAACCTTAAGGGCTCTATTTTGACGATCTATGTGCAAAGTACAAAGCACATGGCACAAAAGCAATAAGGGCATGTCGGAATCCAGTTTTGCTATTTTAAGGACGAAAAATTTGCTTTGCGCTGTGGCGCATGGTCTAACAGGGTTAAACGTATTCTCTTAATGAGTTGTGTTTTGAGAATAAACCAATCAGAGTCTCATCTCCCATTGCCTTAAAGAGTCATAGCACATTTGCCATAGCGCATTTGCTATTTACATGACAGACTTTGTAAGTGGAAAAACTGAGCGTTTAACTAGTAAGAAAACAGTTAAACAGAGCATCTACAGCATAAGAATGAGAGATGAGCCTCCTCATTATTTACTTTAATTTTCACTCTCATGGATAGGGAAGCTTCTTTATACGAACAGACATCAATTAGCCTATAAATAATAAATTTAGTTAGTTAAGCGCAAAGATTTGTTCAAAGTTATTTCTAAATTCAGTTGTAATTGCCAGCAAACGAATAAATGAACAATAATAATGAAGTGAGTTAAAAAAACTGAGTTATATCCAAATACACATGCTGTGCCCCATATGTTCTAAAACCTGACAATTGGGCAAATCTAAGCTTGTTTTTTTAAAAAACTAAAATAAATATGGATATAATAAATAATACTTCTAATAATAATAACATTGTACAAAAGTAAATTGTTATGAATGAACTGAAAAAGCCCCCGAGAAGAAGGCATGAAAGTATGGTTTTTATATTTATGTAGGCTAGAAAATAATATGTTTTGTAATATTTTATTTATTTATATTTATATTATATATATATATATATATATATATATATATCCTTATTATATCCTATGTATATCCTTATTATATCCTATATATATCCTTAATATTTTAATTCTTTTTCATATGTAAAGACATTTGCGTATTGCTGTACTTCTTGTCTGCATTAAGCAATGTGTAAGCGAGGCGCACAACTAACGCGCTCTGCGCTGGACTTTAGAACAGCTTTGTTCTGGTCTATTGAACAGACTATTACAGTTTCTCAAAATAGCAATGCGCCAGCAATGCGCCTCAACACGCCTCCTTTTTTAGACCAGAACGCCCATAGGCGCACATATGAGCGCAAATGCATTTGCTATTTAAACAGCGTGTTGCAAAACGTCAAAATGACTCTTGCGCCAAGCTGAAATTGGCAAACAACAATTGCGTTTCGCCTTGCGCCGGGTGTATGATAGGGCCCTAAAGGTGCAGTATGTAAGTTTGACATCCAGTGGTTGAACTAGGTATTGCATTCCTGGATCAAAACAAACGCAACAAGGGTTGCCAGATTGACAACATTAACAGGAGCGAGTCTCAAGCCTTAAGGCTGATTTAAATTGTGTTCTAACTAAAAGCAACAGCACGCGATGAAATGAATGTTATCCATATTTAATCCAGTTTTATCCAGTTTTGTCCTAACTAACAGCTCGAATTGATATATTAGAAACGACATACATTTTTCACAGATGAACAACAGGATGACTGACAATGATCAGCTCAGGTACACCACATGTGCTTTATTCAGTGTTAAATGCTAACAATGTGAGTTTGAATTCTGTTATTTATTTATAATTGTAAATAAATTACAGTATTATTGTTATACAAATATTATTCTAAATAAAAAACAGAAATTAATCCTAAATGTAACTGGAAAAACTATAATCTAAAGACACAACTGTACTGATGCTAAGATAATGTAATCAATTATGACAAATAAATAGGGCACAAAAAAAGATGCTTTATAGAATTATATGTTGACTTGACTCATAGCCGAGAATTAGTTTTATTTAGTCTTACCTCCCTGACTCATCATCCCCCCTTTTTTTTCTTCATACAAAAAAATCTATCAGGAGCCATGCTTAATCTAAATAATGTCACCATCATATTTATTAAACTTTGTTTTGTCGACTTGAAAATTCACTGAGTGCAGACTCCTCCGCATAAAAGACTGTTATTCCAGTTTCACAACGCAAGATTGACCTGGCAATTTTTTGCATGCATGCTCACAACCAGGACTTAAGCCTGTTTTACACAGCAGGTGCAAGCAGAGCATGAGCAGAGCGTGCAGGCGTTTGCCCTTCATACCGACTGCGTCTGCAGCGTGCAGCTCATCGGCATCTGCTGTACAGAGCAATCTATTTTTGTGTATTCTATCTAGTTACCTATTTATCTTTAAACACATTTTTAAAAACTTTTTATAGTTTCTATATGCCTATAGTTATAATATTATTTATACAATATAAACACTGCCCTATATATACATGATCTAACTAGTGTGCAACTTATTAAGCAAAACTTTACATTTGCTTTACATTTGATTTTGTAGTTCAAGCCCAAATAAATATTTGTTCCCGTTTTTAATCGTTTAAGTTTATTTGATTGAATATATAAATATCAATGGGTCTTATCGATGCATTTCTTAGGTAAAATTGCTACTTTTTACTGTCATTTAATGTGTTTTGGTCATTATCAATGCAATTTCATTGACTGTTTTGTGCTGCTTCTGCGTGTGGTATGAAAGCTCTAATCTGTTAAGATGGATGGTGAAAAAAACACGCTCTGCTTACGCTCTGCTAACACGTGCAGTGTGAAACAGGCTTTACACGGGGAGCAGAGCAGCACGTGAGCAGGAGCGGCGCGTGAGGTGTGCGGGGGTATGCTTTTTTTTTTGCGCACATGCTTTGTTTGCTTTTTGATTAAGATACATTGCTTTGTGTTGGTTCGGTTGCACATAGAGAATAACGTCTTTATTCTGGGATTACCACTCTTAATAAATACACTTGCATATAAAGTAAATCGTATCTCGAAGCATTTACTGGGGCACTGGCAATTTTTACTGGGGCATGTGCCTGGGGACGCCGATGCTCAAAACCAACACATACAGTATCAGCGATAATAATGTTAAAGAGGTTTAATATGTATTAATTAGATTATACATCTTACCATTCTGGCACCTAACAGACATCTCCAAAGCAGATTATCAGACTTTAGTATTGTTTTTCAGATAAACAAGAATGTTCATTTAGCATGTTTTTTAAATATCTGCAAAAATATTACGGTATTTTATGCTTACATACAGCACCTTTAATTTAATTACATAAACATCAAAAGTAATCTATTTTATTTTTATTTTTATTTTTTGCGGAATAGTATTCTAATTAAAGTAACTAGTTACTTTGAGTATAGTACATCAAATCTGGATTAAGTCTATTTGCTGGATCACTGTTAGGGTTTAGTCCAATCTGAAGATTAGTGATTAATGATCATTTACAAATTGTGTGAGGTGAGCTGACATTGAGTGTTCTAAACAAACAGAAACATGTCTTGAGAGCCCAAACACAATCCTTAAATATTAAGACTTCTTAGTCTAACTCTAAACCTATTATTCAAGTCATGAAACCTTTTCGTAAGTTCTTGTTTTTGTTATTTAAAGATACTATTTTTTATTTTCATGTTTTGCCAATAAAAGTAGTTGCTTACAGATTCTCATAGCAACTCTGCAGCACTCTTTTCCTAAATGAATCGTTTTTTGAAATAACCAATGATTCATTTGCTGATTTGATAATCTGTTCATAACAAAAGAGTCATTTGTTTAGTTTCCAAATGAATCAGTTGAATGAAAGACTCGCAGCACAATAACACACTCTACTAAATGGCTTACAGCAAAGTTATTGAAAACTTTTTTTTTGGTCATTATTGCACACCTTTTTGTAAAAACAAACCTGCCATAAATAATACACTGGTTGATATGGATATGGGTATATAGATTTATTACTCTTAGTTTACCTAATAAATTAGTGTACATTATGTAATGAAACTGAACTTTATATAGCAGATAACAGAAGTATTTATTACCTAACTTCAAGATAAAGTAATAAATACGGTCATACATTTCATAATCATTATAAATGTTAATTAATCCATTAGTGTACAAATAAATAATGTAAAATAAAAAGACTGAATTATATTAAAATACCAGTATACAGCAAATACTAAATAAGGATTTTTTATGTTAAGTTTATGTAACACATTGAAATACACTTTTTTTTATCATTATTATTATTTTTTGTTTTAGAAAAAAATGCTTCACAAGTAATAAAGGAAAAATGAAAAGTTCAAACAAGATATAACAAGTTCGACCATGTTTTCCACTTTTTATAAGGAGGAACCATCCACTTGTTTATTCTGTTTGCAGGTTCGGGTGCTCTTTTCCAAAGGTCCCTTCATCTCCATCTTTGCCAGCGACCCTCATATCATCATTAAAGCCATAAACCAGAACCTCAACAGTGTGCTGCGCGACTCCAACATCAACGGCCATGACTACATGCGAAACATCATCCACCTGCCCGTGTTCCTCAACAGCCGTGGCCTCAGCACTGCTAAAAGACTCTGCATTTCCACAGCAGCCAATGGAGCCGATCAACTGAACAATGATGGTCAGTATAAAGAGACTGCTGAAGGCCAAACTTCAGAATTATTAGTCTCCCTGAATTATTAGGTCCCCAGTTTTTTTCCCCCAATTTCTGTTTAATGGTGGTACGCTTGCAGTGTGAGTGCAAAGCGCATCTGAACCCAATACTGAAGATGTGACGTCACTTTTAAGGGACTGTTTCATACGGATTTATTAATCATTCTTACTTTTCATTGTTCACCTCCTAATACATGCAGCACAAGGACTTTTATAATAATTTATTAGCTTCAAAGGTGGTGGATTTGTTCAGCAAAATATTTGACTGCGTGATATAACTAAACAATGCAAAGCGCATCTCTTCCTGTTATACTGAATAGTTGTATCATCAATGATGTAAGAGTGCTCAAGTTCGGAAGGTAAAAGCAGTGTGAGTGCAGGCTGTCGGGGGAGAGATGAGGGGGTACAATCGCGCTTTGGCGCAGTTTGAGGCAATGGTAACTCGAGTGGGTACGCCCTTAGGCCTACTTTTAAATGCAGAACAGGAGTGAGTTGTTGGTTGTAACTTGACAAGATGCTGAAGAACACAGCTGAAGTTTAAGTTTTTAAATATACATTTTACTCACTTCGGTATTTTGATTTAGAAAAATATTTAGATTAGAATATATTCGATTTTTGTCACTGATTTTCACTCAGTTGGCTAAGCATGGGCTTGTCACTGCATTAACACACACCTCTCCAGCTGATCCCAAAACTGCCTAAATTTGATCACTCTAGCCATTTTTTTTTTACCTAAATCGAATTTAATAAATCAAATCTGGCAACACCTCTTGCTTTACTCCATGCAACAGAACAAGAAAATAAACAAACATCTTGGTGCTCTTTAATGCCCTTTTGTGCTTAGCCAGAATGTATATGATTTGTTAATGTAATTTCTTTGATTTACATGTCAGCTATCTGTTTGATTTGTCATCTGCATTATTAATGGAGCAAGTGTGTTTAATATAGACCAACAGCTCATCTTTTCCTCTCTGATTTCTCCTCTGAACATCTGACTCTCTCCATCTGTAGCATGGCAAGAGGACGTGGACAGGAAGTTGTCTCAAAACAGTCTCGGCGATCAGGGCCGGCAGGGCAGCAAAACAGCACTGAACCGCCGGGTAAGACTGAACCGCCAACACTCCCACACCACTTTCCGGCAACATGGCTCAACGAAGGCCATATGGCTGCTATTACCTCATTAGTAACTCATTAATAACATTAATTTATAAAAGCTTCCACAGATCTGAGACCACTTTTACATATATGCATAAAAATGTCAACCAGAATTGCAATTAGTGTTTAAATAACAAATTACATAAAATAAATCCTGATTTAGGTAAAAACAACAACAACAACAACATTTATTTGTTTTTAATAATCATGGAAATTCATTCATGTATGTAGGATGCTGGATGGACATTCAAATCTTACACTCACATTTTGACTAGCAGGGGAATATTTATCAAATCGTAAAAACCCATCATGTGAAATCCCCGTATTTATTTAGACAATACTTCACGTAGCAGTTAAACAGTTCGGTATTCAGTTCTATTATTTTTTAATCTATTCAAGTGTCTGGTGGAAGCTCTTTTAGCTTAGCTTAGCAGAAATCATTAAATAGGATTAGACCATTAGCATCTCGCTCAAATGTATTTTTTTTTATTAAATTTTTTTTTGTTTACAAGTTTTTTCTATTTTTTCTATTTAAATAGACTCTTTTGAAGTTGCATGGTGGATATCTGTTTGATCGTTTTGTTAAGTGTAACCTTCCTCTGCCTGAAAATTGTAACTCTGCGTCTCTGAATAGATTAATCCAGAACTGTTGAATTTATTTACAGTAGTCAAGGCAAATACATTAATAATAACCGTAACTAAATTGCATACAAAATCCGAAGTAATCCTGTACTTGCCTTTTTTATTTACCCATTTACTTTTGAGTACAGTACATACATTCTGGTTTAAGTCTAGCCTATGTGTTGGATCACTGTTAGGGTTTAGCCCAATCTAAAGGTTTTCCTCTGTTGATTAGTGTTTCATAGGTTGTGTGATAAGCTGATATTGTGTGTTCTAAACAAACAAATACATGTCTTGAGAGCCAAAAAAAATTATTCAATACCTGAATTGGACGACAGAAAATGAAAACTATGCAATGCAAATAATAACTTCACAAATGTTACAATTATATTAACAAAACATGCCATCTTTACATTAAATAAAACCCATGGAAACAAATTAGTAAACGTAGTAGTATTAGTAAAAACTAATTGTAAATTTAATAGTCTCTCGGTCTCTATCGCGCGCCAGCACTCGGCCTCTCTCGCATGCACTCGGCCTCTCTCCCGCGTCAGCACTCGGTCTCTCTTGTGCGCCAATACTCAGCCTTTTTTACTTACAACCAACAATCGGCCTCTCTCATGTGCACTCGGCCTCTCTCCTGTGCCAGCACTCGGTCTCTATCGCACGCATTCGGTCTCTCTCGTGCCCACATTCGTTCTCTCTCGCGCGCACACTCAGTCTCTCGCGCGCGCACTCTGTCTTTCTTGCGCGCACTCTGCCACTCTTCCACGCCAGCACTCGGTCTCTCTCACATGCATTCAGTCTCTCTCGCACGCACATTTGGTTTTTCTCGCACGCACATTCGGTATCTCTCGCACGCACTCGGTCTCTCACGTTCTAGGCCTCTCTGCGTTTGCTTGACTTTTGTCCACTCTGGCGCCTTATAAGAGAAAGCCACAGAAGCTGCCATGCTGTAAAGAAAGCAAGAGAGAAAGCAAGAAAAATGAAGGCTTTTCCTAAGCTCATTCTCTCTTTCGTGTCCGTGTGATTTGTTTATTCACAGTTAGCAAGGACAGTGAGGACTATGTGTTGTGTGTTTGTTTTGGAGGAGGGGCATTGTGAGAGACCCTGGATGTCATCGAGGAGCGTCTGTAATTGATTTAATGTCTGTTTACTCTTCCCGCTGAGATGCCATTGCCTAATGACGGGGTGCAGCAGCAGTGGGTCTCGGTGACAAAGCACTGGCACGGCGGCACAGAGGCAGGAGGCTAAGTGGCTCGGCGAGGGCTGTTTGTTTGCTTGGCTGATTTATCTGCCTCCTTTATTTGGCCCCTCTTTATTTCAGGGTCGTGCTCCTCTTGTTTTGCCTCTGCTGTTTCTTGGCTGAGCATCCAGCCCCGCCGTACCCCTGATCTGCACGTTTTGTTGTGGAAATTTGTTTAGCAGCTCTTCAGCGGTAAAACTCCAGGTCATTAAAGAAGAAAAATAGTGTGCAGGCTCTGTTAGCGTCGTGTCCTTTTCCTGGTTAATTTGATATTAAAGCCTATTAAGCTTTGAGGTCAAACCGAGGTTCTGCAGGGGATGCACAAAAGAGCATTTCAGCACTTAAAGCAGTTCAAGATGGGTCATTTTGGATCTTGGGTTATCTTGCTGCACTTTTCACCCCGTTCATAAATTACCCGGCGTTAATCATTCTTAAATGTTCATATTCTGAATGTTTGTAAACTTGTTTATTGGCATAGTAGCTGAGTCATTTTTGCTTTAAATTAACTCAGCATGCGACCTGTTTGCATACAGACTTTATTGTCAGCCATCCTTATAATATTTATTAACGACTATATAATCAAGAAAGATGATAATTAAATTATCTTTGCCCTCATTTGCATATAATGCTGCTTTAAAATCGCAAGTGTACAATGCTAAATACAGATTGTGTTAGTTGGCTATACAACATTTTGAGCTTGTCCATTTTAACCACTTCCAGAGGCAGTTGAAAACTTGTTTGACTGGATTGCTTTTGTAGTGTAAACGGTTATGTGGTCGAATGTGTTCAGCAGGTACTAAAGACCACTTAAGAGCTAATGCATGTTTTTAGGAGATGTACGTTGAAAGAGCTTCAAAACAAGGCATTGATACTTTACTGCATTGGTTACCATCTTACACTTTTTTTTATTTTCTTGGTCCACACTCGCTTTAAGTCACATAACATGGCTTCATTCATACTTTATTGCCTTTAATGACTCCTTTATATGCATGTTGATACCAAATTTAAATGGTTATGCATCTCAGCTGACCACTAGGGCCTAGATCACTGAAAATGCACCCTAATACCAGGTAGAAACAGGGCCTTGTTTACTGCAATCGAATCCATAGTTGACATTTTTTTAGCTTTGACCTCTAAAAAACTCCTTAAAATATATTGTCTCATACTCTATAGATTGGGGAGAATAGCATATGAGCAAAGTACAGTGGTGTAAAGTAACGAATTACAAATTCTGAAATTACTTTAATTATTTAAAAAAAATATATAGGATTTGTTATTAAATAAATAGTTTGAAAAGTATGTACTGTTACTTGAGTAACCGACAGACTGACCTCAACATACAAAAACAACCATGTACCGTGCGAAAGCATTTATAGTGTCCAAAAAGACGCAAAATCATTGCATGCAACAACCTAAAGACTGTTTAGACTGCACAACACTGAGAAGATAAAGGATGCCTACTGTACAAAATTGTGATATGGGCTTAAAAGATAACTAAATGAACTACAGAATGTTTTGTTTACAAACACATTCACAAATTGCATGTGTTTTATCAGTGCTGTACAAGATTGATGTGCAGCGCCAACTGCTGGAGCTTCATAGATTGTTAGTCAGAGTTTAAAGTGTATAACGTAAGCATTAAGCGTTAACATATCATCACGGCTAGACTTAGGTTACACAGATTTCACTCCGCATGTAAATGCATCAACCTGCATTCTGTTGGCTTATTATATTTGTACATATATTAATGTAATGTGTTCTTGCATTAAATAATCTCACATTTTAAATTTGAGAAATTTTAGTCCATGAATGGCAAATAATTTAACTTGCGCTTCTTATACACATCTTGTTACACTTACACGTAATCACCTTATAATTACAAGTGCTAAACACATGCTGACTGGCACAGTACAGTATACTAAACATTGACAGTATATTAGTGTTACAAGACATAAACATTCAAAAAGCTATTTTTTACCTGTTGCCTTCAGAGATTTAATCGGGGTGCCAGTGTATCCAGGAAAATGCTCCTAGGAGAAAATGAGTTCTCAGGCTAGATCCTATGACTGAACTCTTGTAACTACCTGGTATGAAAGCTTCTAATAACTTATAAGTAGGCCCACAACAAATTTGCGAGCGCAGATTTCTGCAGATTTTTAGCCTATCATTGAGTCTATGTATTTACTTGTGTAAATGTGACTGTATAAATTTATGTTTGTTCAGTTTTTGTTTTTATTAATTTCACTAATATTATTGTGATATTATGATAGGACTAATAAAATTCATTCATTTCTTTTCGGCTTAGTCCCTTTATTAATCTGGGGTCGTCAAAGCGGAATGAACCGCCAACTTATTCAGCTTATGTTTTATGCAGCTGATGCCCTTCCAGCTGCAACCCATCACTGGGAAACACATATACACTCATACACTATGGACAATTTAGTCTACCCTATTGACCTGTACTGCATGACTGTGGGGTAAACTGGAGCACCCAGAGGAACGCAGGGAGAACATGCAAACTTCACACAGAAACGCCAACTGACCCAGCCGAGGCTCAAACCAGCGACCTTCTTGCTGTGAGGCAACAGCACTACCTACTGCGCCACTGCGTCACCTGGTACTATTAAAATGTTCATTTGATTTATTTACAATACAATTTTCTGTCTTTTAGTAGACTTATTATATAAGAGACTTGCTTTGTTTAGCAAATAAGCGGGTCTAGATGGATTTGCACTGTAAAGATGAAATAAAAGTTCAAAAGTTATTATTTTTATTTATGATTAAATTTTAATTTATGATACTCCTAAACTCATTCCGCATAAATCCGCAGATTTTTTTTTTTTTACAAAAGTCTCTGCAGAAATAGCAAAAAATGTCCGCAGATTCTGTCTTGCCCTACTAATAAGCAACCAAATCACCTAATACTTCTGGTGAGATTCTTCACCATCTCATATAGCCTTAGGAGAATATTTGTAAATGTAAAGGATTAAGCAACAAAACTGACATTGTATATCACATGGCATTAACAATGTGGATGCTACACATATCAACACTTTGCAAAATTGACAACTTTTTCAA